CAAGGCAGCCAAAGCATCCTGATTTACAAGATCAGCCAAGTTTGCGCCACTCCGTTTGACCAGCTCTTTAGTGTGTGCTTGCGTCAATTTCTCGGCTATACTCAGCTTGCTTTGATAGAAGCTTCCAGTCTCATCACCAGAACCCAGACCAAGAGTACTCGCCGCATTTGTACTGCTAGGTATCATGCTAGCAGCCACTGCTGCCGCTGCTGCTGTGCTAATCATCGAACCACCCAAACCGAATCCAACGCATCCACTAACACCGGCATTTGAACCAGTAAGTATATTCGAGCTCCCGGCAAGAAGCTGAGCAGCCGCCATGTTGACTACAAGGCCTTCCTGTTCAGGTGTTAGCCCTGTGAGTAGTGCACAACTATTGCCGCCAGCACTGCTGTTCCCCCCACCGGCGCTGGCGCAGAGCATGGAACCACTAATGTCTCCAGCACTGGCATTTGCAAGGCGGGCACGTTTAAGTGATTCGTTAGAACGTAGCATTGAGATGAATTCGGCTCGGTGTTCGTGTTGTGCGGGGCCCCAGTCATGGACAGGCTTCAAGAATTCGCGAAATAACTAAAAGTAAAATAATTGTGAGGGGTTCAGAAGTAAGGATTATCATACATAGATTTTTCAAACAATGAAATTCAAAGGGAATAAGATTATGATATATTAACAAGAGCTTATGTACATAAACCACTCTCTATGACCTACTTCTAAAAGTTATTGGCTCATTGACAGACAAATGAAAGTTTATAGAGAGATAAAGTAAACTTATACAGATGTAGACTTTGAGGATAATTCAGTTGCTTTAATCCTAAATTGGATTTTCATTCAGATAAATTAAATGCTATTGCTCGGCCAGTAAATAAATAAGACAGAATATGAAATAGAAAAAACAAACCCAATTTTCATAGTGATACTGATTAATATAAATGAATGTATTTATTTAAATGAAAATAGTGGGTGCAAAATAAAAAAACGACAATATTTTTGGTTGGCAGTCTCAGAGAGAACTGTTCGTGAGCTAATCGATTGTCGTTGGAAAAAACGGAACAGCACGTAAGAGCACTCTTTAAATAACGAGATTTTGTGTTAGCGCAAAAAATTGGAATTGCATATTGTAGAA